CGCCCCCCCCACGCTGCGCCGCTGCCCGGGCTGGGCTCGCCGCGCGGGGACCTAGGCTCGGAGGCGGGCGAGAGCTGGCGCGCGGAGCAAGAAGGGGCCTGCGGGCTGGGCCGCAGGCCGGGAACGCTGGGGAGACCCCCGCCCCCCCGATGGCCTTAGCGGGTGGAGAGCGTGGGACGGGCGGCCGGCAGGGCTCCCCTCGGTGCTCGGGGCTTCGCCTCCGCGCCGCGGCTAACACTGCCTCCTAGATTCAGCTGGCGTCATCGTCCAGTTCGGTACTTTGAAACGGAGTTTGTAAATGAAGTCATCATAACAGAATTTGGTTTTTTTAAAAGATTTTATTATTTGAGAGAGAGAGAGAGCGCAAGGGGGGGGGTAGGGGCAGAGGGAGAAGCAGGCTCCCCGCTGAGTAGGGAGCCCCATGCGGGGAGCTGGAGAGCATGACCTGAGCCGAAGGCAGGCGCCGCTGGCAGTTTATCTTTTTTTTTTTTTAAGATTTTATTTATTTGACAGAGACAGACACAGCGAGAGAAGGAACACAAGCAGGGGGAGTGGGAGAGGGAGAAGCAGGCTCCCCGCAGAGCAGGGAGCCCCATGTGGGACTCGATCCCAGGACACTGGGATCATGACCCGAGCCGAAGGCAGTCGCTTAACCGACTGAGCCACCCAGGCGCCCCAGTTTATCTTTTTAAAGAGAACTGTTTGGTACCAAAAAGTACCAAAGAATTTGACTTCTGTGTAAACATCTCCCCTAGTATCCTGTGCTTTCATTAAGAAAGAAAAAAAATGGGTAATTTATGAAGTAGACATTCAATCCAGGTGTTGACTATGCTATTAGAATTCTGTGTAGATAAAACTTGACAAATTTTCAGTTAATTCCCACATAATACTCCACTCCCCAACCACCTGCAATGTAGCGGTTCTAACCTATGTCGTCAGTTATGATGAGCTCGGGCCCTAGAAATAAGCCATTGAAAGAGAAGACCCATTACTATTTAGAGAATTCTAACCCAAGTTCTGTCCCTCTCCATGTGGATTAGCTACTGAATGAGCAATCGCCAGCTGATTTCCAGGCATCTGGCCGCCTGACAGATTACAGTAGGTTTGGGCTGGAAGGTGGCCATCAGAGTTACACCTTTGAGAGAAATTATACCGGGAAAAAAAAAAAATCCCAAATTGTAATAAAAGATTCTAGAGAAGAGGAAATCAGGAACTAGTTAGTACCATCAGCAAGTCTAAAGCTACTAGAATTATGCCTACAAAATGTACCAGCCAACAGTGCCAAATGGAGCACAGGTTTAGTAGTAAAAAAAAAAAAAAAAAGTCAAATCTGCGAAGGAACAAGCAAGGCTGACTATAAATGTTAAAATATGAATGGGCTGGGGTACCTGGGTAGCTCAATTGGATTCTTGATGTTGGGCTCAGGTCATGATCCCCAGGGTGGTGAGATCGGGTGGGGATCTGCACTCAGCAGGGTGTCTGCTTGGGATTCTCTCTCCCTCTTCCCCCTCCCCCCACTGCACTCTCAAACAAATAAATCTAAAAAAAAGGGGGGCTATCAATTTGCAGGGAAACAGGCATTCTAATACTATCATTGGCAATGCAAATTGATACATGTGCAGGTGGAGGAAAACAATGTATCAGAGCAATTACAGTATTTAGATTCTTGACCTAAAATTTTACTCCCCACAATTTACCCTGAGGAAATAATTGAAGAATTTAAGCATTTAGTTATGAAAATGTTTTTTTAAGATTTTATTTACTTGGGGGGTATAGAGAGAGAGCAAGCAAGCTCAGAGGGAGAGGGAGAAGCAGACTCCCCTCTGAGCAGAGAGCCCCACTCGGGGCTCGATCCCAGGACACTGACTGAGCCACCCAGGCGCCCCGAAGTTACGAAAATATTCATTGCAATGTAATCTGGAGTAGAGAAAACTGGAAACCCTGATGTTCAACAATGGGGAAAAATTGAACACAAGTGTATTAACAAGACAATGGTCTTTGTGCACAAAAATAACTCTGAAGACTATGTAGAAAAAGTTGATTTTTCAATAAAACAAAATTCCTTAGTAATCCTCTCTGGCCTCACCACTAACCACAACTGGTTTTCCAAAGGGCTTGGCAATGCCATGTATCTGGAGTATTTGAAAACAGCTTTCTCATCCTATTTATTTTTTTCACCAAAACTTTCATTTACATTAAGAGACTAGGTGGGTAAATTTTCTTCCTAAATATTGAAACATAATTTGCAGTCTTTGTTTTTAAAGGATCCATTCAGGAATTAGATTAGGCGTGACAACCTCAAAGAAGACTTTCCCCCTCCCCGACCTAGAAACCTACCTTGACTGTCTTCCACGTCCAAACAGTAGTGACTTCTCAACTTTGGCCTGTCTTCCTCATCCTTAACAACCATTCCCGCCGCGGTTCTCCATTTTTTTTTTTAACACAACATATATTTAAGAACTACCTTAGACAGTAGTAGCCATCCACCCCTTTTCTCTCCTGCATCCCTTTAAGTCTTCTTCCACTGGTAGAAAATTTAGGGAATTAAGTCATTCACAGTATAACCTGATCGGGTATCAAGGTAATAAGCAACATCTACACCTGGTGTCAGAATCACATGGGGCAAATGTTAGAAACTCAGATTAAAGAATCCTGTTTCTAGGTCTACAGTGGGCCTTAAGAACCTTCACCAGAGGTTTTCAATTCTTTTTTTTTTGTAAAGATTTTATTCATTTAAGACACAGAGATAAAGAGAGAGAGAGAGAAAGCATGAGCAGGGAGAGAGGCAGAGGGAGAGGGAGAAGCAGGCTCCTTGCTGAGCCAGGAGCCCGATGTGGGGCTCGATCCCAGGACCCTGGGATCATGACCTGAGCTGAAGGCAGACGCTTAACCATCTGAGCCACCTAGGCACCCTGGTTTTCAATTCTGATGCACAACTGAAACATATGGAGCTTTTAAAAGACATTGACGCCTGGGGCATCTGGATAGCTCAGTGGGTTGGGCGTTGGACTCTGGATTTCAGCTCAGGTCATGATCTCAGGGTTCTGGGATTGAGCCCCACGTGGAGCCCGCAAGGGGCTCGGAGCTCAGCAGGGAGTCTGCTTGGGATTCTCTTCTCCCTCTCCCCCACCTCATGCAAGCACGCTCTAAAATTGACACCTGAGCCCCAACCAGAGAAATTCTGAGCCCAACATGTCACAGCAGGTGCCCAGTAGCTTTTATTTTCTAAAGTTGCTACTTAATGGCGCCTGGGTGGCTCAGTCATTAAGCATATGCCTTCAGCTCAGGTCATGATCCCAGGGTCCTGGGATCGAGCCCCGCATCGGGCTCCCTGCTCTTCAGGGAGCCTGCTTCTCCCTCTCCCTCTGCCTGTCGCTTCCCCTACTAGTGCCCTGTCAAATAAATCATTAAAAAAAAATAAAGTTCCCACTTGAGGAACCTTGCTAAGGCATAGTTTCATACAGCTTATTTTAGAAAAAGCTGAAGTGGTTAATATATGTAAAGCCTCACTACTTAAACTGTGATCTGAGGGCCAGGCATTGATATCATGAGCTAGCAGCATGAATTAAAATTCACATTTTAACAAAGTCCCCACGTGATTCTCAGGCACATCAATGTGAGAATCAATGATCTAGACCAGTGCTGTCCAACAGAACTTTCTGTGATAAAAGTGTTCATCGGTGCTATTCAGTAAAGTAAACCACTAGCCACAAGTGGCTAATGAGCATTTGAAATGTGGCTACTGAGACTGAGAAAATGAGATTTTAATTTATATGTAAGTAGTCATAGGTAGCTACTGGCTACTGTACTGGGCAGGTCTGATCTAGATAATTTGGTTTGGTTAGAGGGCATGCATTTATGGACCCAGATCTATGGACGCAAAAGGAATCCATGAGAGTCACTGCCTACAGAAACTGTCTTTTTTTTTTTTATTTTTATTTATTTATTTGAGAGAGAGAGAATGAGAGAGAACACATGAGAGGGGGGAGGGTCAGAGGGAGAAGCAGACTCCCTGCCGAGCAGGGAGCCTGATGTGGGACTCGATCCAGGGACTCCAGGATCATGACCTGAGCCGAAGGCAGTCGCTTAACCAACTGAGCCACCCAGGCGCCCTGTCTTTTCTTCTTAATGAAGACAAAAGCCAGGTGTTAAAAACAATCCATTTATTGGGTTTTAAACTAGTTACACAATTGAAATTGTCAGTTTGGCACTACTCTATACAGGGATTACGCCTGTGTACGCAGACAATTCAATACTGTACCAGGACCTCTGCTGAGCTTAGGTCTGTATGGAGTCATTCAGCAAGTAGATACTAAAAAATATACTGTAGTGTTCCTTTAAGGAAGACTGTACAGGGTGTGTTGCAAGAGGACATTCACTAACTTGTGAATTACTTTAACCTAGAAGATACCTTGCATTCTATAAACTTGTCACAGGCAAACATGTGGTGTTTGCATTTAGCGATGCACACAAAATGTCACATAAAAATCCAGACATTCTAATGATAAATGAACTCAAAACCCCCACACCTCAGCTTTTGTAACATGAAAAGATAGAGAAAATAATTTAAAAACACAAAAAATGGCATTCAGTTGGTACAAAAGCCAAAAAATCACTATAGTAAAGAGCTACATGTGAATCTTTACAAATTAATTACACAATGCTGCTGCGTAAAAGGTTGCATCTGTACAGTCTTGCCAATGCTATCTCTACAGTTTATACAGTCTTTTACATCTATATAACATTTATTAATAAACAAGTCAATTAAATATAAAGACTTATTTAGTCTCTCAACGATTCTGCAAGCAAAAAAAAAAGAAAAAAAGAACAACAAAAAAAAACCTTACAGAATTTCCACAAATACAGCAGTCTTCCATTAGGTGAAATATAACAGTTTTCAAAGAGGGTTGATCAAACAGTATATGTAAAGAATACAGGTAAAAATCAACCAGTCAGGGTTTTTATTGTTTTTGTTGTTTATTTTCAAAATCACACATTGTATACACACACAACAATCAATCAAAAATTTATTCACCAAACCCCCAGTTTTTCAGCAACTGCTCTTTCTAATCAGCACCAAAAACTCCAGTCTGTGGGAAGCACGTGGACACAGCCTTCACTTCTGTGTCTTGGTGGCGCACTCCATCAGGTCCTTGGCTAGATTCGAGACTTGCTCTCTTTTCCTTCCCTCTTCATAGCTCTCCAGACCCAAGGCTCTCAAAGGCTTCAATTTATGGCCCACAGCCGTACTACCCTCTACACCCAACAGCCATTTGGAAAAAATTCAAAATAATTTGAGATGAATGAAATGACGGGACCTGTACTACAGATAGGTATTCTCCATTACAAGTAAACTGTTTCCTAATGAGTTCCTAGACTCTGTTTGGTCTTGGATGCCATGATCATACTGGGTAATTATTTCTAGTCTGAGACATTGCAGCTTTGTCAGACGCCTCAAAGAAAAAGTGATCAATATTCTGGAGTCATTTCCAGACAAGTTAGGTAATCAAATGGCAGCTGAGAACCTGTGGAACGGAGACTAATGAGACCAAACACAGAAGCCACCAAAATGATGAGAGCTCAACAAAGGCAGAGTTTTAAAACCTGCAGAGAGCCGCCACATATGGTACCTGAGGATCTGGAATTTTTGATGAAAAGAGCTTGAAGTGAGGACTACTCATCTGTATCAGGGAGGAAAAAAAATCTCGGTTAGACAACAGGACATCCAACTCTAAAGTCCAGTAAGTGTGGAAACGTTTCTGGGTTCTCCTCTTTAATTCAGGATGGAAAAGAAATACTTAAGAATCCAGATAAAATGTTCTCATAACTGTATACAACCTAGGGTCCTCAGGGCAAACCCAAAATGCCCAGGCCCCACTCAGGAGGCAACCAAGAATAAGATTTCTTTAAACTAACCATTCCCAGGCTACTAAGGCCACTCATTTATAAAGGTCCAAAAGCAGTCACATCAATTGTCTGCTTAATACCTGAAGCAGAGAAACAGAGAAAAATTCTCTGGGAACTTAAACTTCCACTGGTCATAGCAAAAGTTGTATTAACAAATTTTTTTATCATCTAAGTAAGGACATCTAAGAATGTCAGCAAAAATAAAAAACTTATGAACACCCATGTCTCAATCATCCAACCAAAGACATCTACCTGAGGCTGTCAGACTTCTTTAAACTCAGCATTTTGCCGACTTACCCTTCTATGCATAATAGCACGGTGACACAAGGAGATCAGTGAGAACAAGCAGCTGGTCATCTGTGAATTGCTGTTTGTGTTCTTGCCAGTTGTCATGGTGCGTCCTCCGGAAATTGGATAAGGTCTTTTTTACAGTCATCTGTAGAGTAGGCAACGCACATACATTTTATTTTAACCTCTGAAAGATTAGGATTATATTTAGGATAACTTTGGCTACGTAAAAATCCTTCTAGACTTCAGATGTCACACTTCACCGAGTGCTGCAAAACCAACAAGCCAATTGTAACTTCGCAAAGCCACCGAGCTCACTTCTTTAAAATGACTAGCTGCACTTTAGGACAAGCTCCTGGCACTTACATCACGCTATTAAACCAGTTTCAATACACACCTACGTCTATTTCCCAAGTGAGAAGGACAAAGTCATTGGTCTTTGCAGCCGTTTAGACACAGCTGTTCTTTAAATAATACCATCACAATTTCCTGTTTAATATTAGCTCCCGGTTAGATACTTCCTAGATATCAAATGTCAGTAAAATAAATGTATAAAGATTAACTATCCTGACAACACTGACAATATTTTACTTCCACTGGACTGGGAGAGACAGAAGCTTTATTAATTTCCTTGCTACCAAAAGATCTCAAATACACAAGAAAGCAAGGCCTCCACAAGACCTTACTCATCACTGTTGAGTAGGCTTAGCCCTGGCTGACGTAGTAGTAGCAGCTTTCTCAAAGCAGAAGGTCCAGAGTGAACAGGAAATTATTAGTAAAATGATTTCTTACGAAAGCATTACCAATATAGTATGTGTGCAAAGAAACTAACAAGGAAGAATTTTACCTCAATAGGCTGCGGATCATTCAGATGTGCACTGAGATTCATAAGGAGCTGGGGCATCCAGGTGGGAACGTCATAGGGACTAGAAAGAACACATGCACCAAGTCCTAGCACCCCAGCATGACGTTTGACCAACTCTGAAAAAACAAAAAAACCACACCAATATATGTGCAAATATTTACGGGACTCTATTGCACATGTCACAGTGAAATAAAATTAGTTTTCGATGAAGCAAGTTGTTGTCAGTGTGTGAATTTCTGCATTTAAAATCCCTCTGTGTGCACACAGACCAAAAACATGATTTTGAGGCTGAACTAAAGACATCCTATAGCTGTCCCTCAATGATAGTGGAATTAGAGCTAGGTCAGAAATGTGTCACTTATTTGCTAGAACTTACACAATAATAGTTTTGATCAATTCATATCATATGCAAAAGTGCAATCCCTGATCCTAAAACAATCTCTAATCAAAATTAGACCCCACTTTTCTAGATGGGATCCACAGAATGGATCAATTCATGAGGTAAACATACTATATATGAGGAATGTCTGTAAACAGAGCTGTAATGTGTCTGTATTCTGCAGGGTCTCCATTCTTCCTTTTTTAAAAAGATCTATTCTTTCTCTAGTGATAGAAGTTACTGCTTTCAAATTCTCCTGTTTTTCTTTAGAGTTGTGTGTGTGTATTATATTCGTATACATGAAATACGGTGCCTAGGGAACTGAAGTTAATTCCTGCTCTCGCTACCTCTCTGTCAAATAAATAAATAAAATCTTAAAAAAAAAAGATGGCCATGATTTATTAAAAAAAAAAAAGGAATACGAAATAGAATTATAAATAATGCCATTTGGGATAACAAAGAGCTAAAACTACTTTGGTACTTAATTATTAAAAAATAGAGTTCTCAAGCAAAGCAACTAGAACATTCATTGTATTAGGTCACTATATGACTTAATTAAGACCCTCTTATAATTAGCACTTAAGAGCTTCACATTCCAAGCACTTCCTACAAATCCAATAAGCTTCCTACTTATTAAGAGTCTTTCTATATATTTCCCATTCTTCCTGTGACTGTAGTTAGCAGTGGCAAGGTCAGACGGCTCTTTGCAATTGTGTTTATTTATTTATTACTATTTTTAAAAGATTTTATTTATTTATTTATTTGAGAGAGCACGAGCGGGTGGGAGGGGCAGAGGGAGAGGGAGAAGCAGACTCCCTGCCGAGCAGGGAACCTGACTTGGGGCTCGATCCCAGGACCCTGGGATCATGACCTGAGCCAACAGCAGAGGCTTAACTGACTGAGCCACCCAGGCACTCCTATTTGTTTATTTTTTAAAAAAAGATTTTATTTTTAAGTCATCTTTACACCCAACATGGGACTTGAACTTACAACACTGAGATCAAGAGTTGCATGCTCCACTGACCAAGTCAGCCAGGAGCCCCACAATCATGCTTAAATGTCTCTCTTTTTTTTTTTAATAAAGATTTTATTTATTTATTTGAGAGAGAGAATGAGAGACAGAGAGCACGAGAGGGAAGAGGGTCAGAGGGAGAAGCAGACCCCCTGCTGAGCAGGGAGCCCGATGCGGGACTCGATCCCGGGACTCCAGGATCATGACCTGAGCCGAAGGCAGTCGCTTAACCAACTGAGCCACCCAGGGGCCCCTTAAATGTCTCTTTAAATGTGACATAATCAGATCTGATTCTCCTGTTTATCTTCATGCTCAATTAGAGTAGAAGCTCCTGTGAGGACTCTTCTCACCCTCTCACCAAATGCCCAGTGAAGTAGTGAACAGTCCCCTCTCCAAGTACAAGCAAGGCTTGTTTTGTTTTCTTAGTATTTTCCTAGTACATCCACACCTAAGCTATAAAATCTAAAAGCAAATACTTTACACTCTCCAAAATAACTCATTCTACACAGCTCTTTATATAAAGTGATTTCATGTGGGCAGGCAGACCTGACTCATTGTAACAGGTGTGTCTCAGAGCACAGGTTCCTCTGTGCCTCTCAATTTCGCTCTTCTGTTCCAGGTCTTGCCCACTGTAGGCAAAGCTTATTAAAAGCAGGGGCAACTATTCCCAGTACCTAGCAAAGACCCAGGGACACACAAGTATTCAATAAATATCTGTCTGAGTAAGCATGGTTAATTCCCAAACGGACGTGGGTATTTTATACCGGCACTGTTACCTGCAGAAGGAATCGTGTCTCCTACGGAACCAGGGTCTCGCTTTCTTTTCTTCGGTAGCTTCGTTTTGCAAAGTTGCTCAAAATGAATCTGCAGAGGACTGTCCATGTTAAGGAAGTTACACTGTAACAGACCGCTTAAGGTGGTAGCAGCCATTTCTCGAACCTGTAGAGATAATCACTTCTTTCAGAGTGGAGATCCTAACCCTCAGGGGAATGCTGGAGGCTGGGAGGGTGGCGGTGGGCACGGGGAGGGGGACGGGGGACGGGGGACTTCCCCGGACTTCTGTGTGCAAATTGTGTGAATGCTCTCATGCCAGTTCTTCCGGGAGATTTCATCAGATTCTCAACAGGTCTGTGGCCTCAAAATGGATGAAAGCCACTACATTAGAGTTATGCAAAATTAAATGTCTCAATAAATTATTTTCCCACTGACCGGCAGTTGTCCTTATCAGGGCTGTAACTGTAAAAGCAGTGCCAGAGCCTAACATTAAGATGAATTTTTCCTGGACTCTGCATCTCTGCAAACTACTGCTGTTTTCTTCAGTAACACAGAGGACAGTCAATTTGTATAAGTGGCATATGTTGTAGATTTATGTCCAGTTTACTTCTTAGGAATTTCACAGGCTGCTGTCAGACTACAGTTTACCCAAGTACCAAATGCAGAGCAGAGCACAGTCCATTTCAAAATGGAATGGGAACTCAAGTTTTGGGAAAAAAACAACAACAAAAAAACCAGTAAAATGCTATCATCTCAACAGGTATCACAAAATTCCTGCTAAGCATTCATAAAGATAGGCAATAATTTGGGGGAAAAAACTCCACCGTTTTTTGTATTGTTTATTGCTTCAAAAGGTTTTTTCTTAAATGTTGTAGGGTTCGACAGTTTTGGGGTAACTTAACATTTTCACTATACTAGTAAATGAATTACATTATAAATTGTTTTACTACATCATACTTGGTCGCGTTATTTCCTTTTACACCACGATTCATTTTTATATTCAACTATTGATTAGAATGCTTTCAACTTCTCACTATTGTGCTAAAAATATTCTTAATTTATATAATTTTTTTCCATATTGCAATGTATTTTCTTAGGATAGATTCTAAGAACTGGGATTACTAAATTTTAATGTATGAACAACTTTACTGTTAATTTTGTGGCCATCAGCTACTTTTCAAGAGCCAGTGCTAATAGACTATGACACAAGACTAACGTGGAATACTCGGTATATACCTTGCCGACCTGTTATCATCATTATACGTTTTGTTTTAAGTAGGCTCTACGCCCAACATGGGGCTTGAATTTATGACCCTGAGACTGAGTCACATGTTCTGCTGACTGAGCCAGCCAGACACCCCTGAAAGTTTTTCTTTAAATCCAATAGTTTTCTTTAAACATTTTTCATTTAGATTATCACAAAGTTTTTTCAGTATTATCATGAGTAGCTCTTGCTAATTATTACATCACTGATACTCAGTACTCTGTTTTAAAAATATGACAGAGGCAGCTGGCTGGCTCAGCTGGTAGAACATGAAACTCTTGATCTTACAGTTGTTAGTTGGAGCCCTATGTTGGGTACAGAGATTATCTAAAAAATAAATAAATAAATAAATCTTAAAAAAATATAATAGCTTTAATGAATGTCATGGCTTTACTTATAGTAACAGTTACACTTAAGCCTACTACATGGAATATAAAAATAATTTATGAATATGTTCTACAACAAGGTCCAGCAAACAATAAATGCAATTTAATGTAACTGCTGTAATATTTAAAATTAGGAAACACTGATTTTCAAGATTTCCACCTTTTCATTTCTATTCCTTTAGTTATTAAAAAATACAAGTTAAAAAAATTACAGACAGCTCTAAATACTGTAAGCCTGCTGTAGCTGTTATAACCAATTGTGTGTGAGTACCTGAGGGGCTAGCAAGATCTGCTCCCAGAACACAAGAAAGCTGGACTGCAAAATGAACAGGCTCATTAGGGAGGTGGAAAAATTCCCATTCTCAGTTTTCTATGGATGCAATCTATTTTCAGTGCTCTCAAATAGAATATATAATTACTGGGAGTGCTCCACTACATAGAAAACCCATAAAATTTTTAAAAAAGTACAGATTTCACAAAAATTTCAATTACATTTTCTTTACCTAAGGCCAATTTCAAAAGTTGTAACTTATTCCTTATTTATTACAACATACTTTTCTTACATTACATTATATTAAGAGATATATCTTTTTGTACAAAATACTAATATAACTTCACCACAAAGTTGCCTTTAATTTTTCTACCAAGGGAAATAAAAAGGGGCAAAAATCTTAACTGGATAATAGCATTTGTGGGTAGATTTTTTTTTTTTTAAGTGAAAATCATTTTTTTTTTTTTTAAAGATTTTATTTATTCATTTGA